TTTGGGAAGACGTGATCAGGTCATGGGTGGTTATAAGATATAGTTAACAAAGAAGCATTACACAATATTGTTATGATTATTACAGAGCTGAGCGATGAAATTATGAAATTAATTGTCAGACTGCCAGACTGTTCTGTCATCGGACCCTAAGTCCAAGAGCTGTATCTCAAGAAAACTTAAGCAAGTTTTAATACTTCCCCCAAGCCAACGTATCGAAGTTTGCGGATAAGAGCTAGTGAAATGTGGAATGTCCTAAAATATATTCAACAAATTGCGCGCGCTAAAATTGGAGTTCATTGCAGCGCAATAAAGCGTGCGCGCCCTAGGTCACCAGTTTGCGAACGCGCAAGTTTTTTGGACATTGTTAATGGGCCTTTCAAAAAGAAACTTTTGTAGATTGGCGTGCTTGGTCCATGTTGGGAAAATTGTGGTCTCGTTCCTGGCTCAACAGAAAGAAAGAGTCAGACCAACATTCCCCCAAACTGGACTGGTTTCCACGTCATCGTTACCATCGCTTCAATCTTCAAGGTCATTGTTGAAGAGTTGTATCCATATGATTGCAACTATCACCGAACTTTTTCTCAGCGAGCGCGACGACCATTTAGAAGCGAGCCTTAAATGAGTTTTATTATATGGCTAGCGCCGTGAGCGGGCAAGATGAATCAAATCCTGCGCTGTGATTGGCTACCCGAGCNGCGCGCCCTAGGTCACCAGTTTGCGAACGCGCAAGCTTTTTGGACATTGTTAATGGGCCTTTCAAAAAGAAACTTTTGTAAATTGGCGTGCTTGGTCCATGCTGGGAAAATTGTGGTCTCGTTCATGGCTCAACACAAAGAAAGAGTCAGACCAACATTCCCCCAAACTGGACTGGTTTTCACGTCATCGTTACCATCGCTTCGATCTTCAAGGTCATTGTTGAAGAGTTGTATCCATATGATTGCAACTATCACCGAACCTTTTTCTCAGCGAGCGCGACGACCATTTAGAAGCGAGCCTTAAATGAGTTTTATTATATGGCTAGCGCC